AGGTATGAGTGAGTGTGGGTGTGTGATGTAGGTATGAGTGAGTGTGGGTGTGTGATGTAGGTATGAGTGAGTGTGGATGTGGGTGTGAGTATGAATGTGTGAATTTGGGTGGAAAGAAAATATACACCCACACCCTAAGCATCGTCTTTGACAAAAGTTATGCAATATTCTATTTCATTTTTGCCATATAGATTGGAAAACTTCATGATTCTTATTGGCATGTGCATAAGATTTATCATATATCAAACTGATAATAGTGGTCAGCCGATCCGACTGTCGGAGAACGTTTGAGTAGAGTATAAACTATAGATTATAAAAAGTCATTAAAAAATTGCGAGAATGAATAAAAATTGAGAAGAAATCAGAAGAAACTGTCTTTTTGGACGATTTAATCGCCATACCGTTTCATAATTAATTGGACTGATAAATCATGGTGAATCGGTTGAGTTTTAAGCGATCATCACCACATGGGAAAGTATACAGCTAGTAAGTTATTTTTATACTTAATTGTTTTTTATAAATTAATCAAACTCAAAAGTAGTTATTGAGATCATCATTGTCTATACTATCTTCATACGTGACTAATAAGTTCAAAAAATTGATGTAAGATAGTATAACTCGATTAAACACTCAACTTCTTATCAAACATGAAACTGTACAGAAAAATAATCAAAATAACTGGATCATGCGTCAAATCTATTTAGGCAAATTTTTTCTTATTGTTTCAAAAAGACATTTTCATTTTGAAATAGTTCATTAAGAATCATTGTAAATTGTCACAAGCAAGCATTTTATAATAAGCTCCACGTCGTTGTGTCAACTCTGTATCAGTACCACTTTCCACAATATGCCCTCTTTCAAGTACACAAATCAAATCACATGAACGAATAGTTGAAAGACGATGAGCAACAATGAATGATGTTCGACTAGAATCTTCTGTTTGAGCTTGCTCAAGAGCTCCTTGTACAAGCTACAATTGAAAAATGGCGATGAATCTTTAATTAAGCCGCCCCCCCCCCCCCCTCCAAAAAGTTAGTTTTCGTCAGAATGGTCAAGATTGAGATAAATACATTGGGGAGATAGCCTGACATTTGCTCTTTCATAAACGATAAAAACTTTTCTTCGATATCTCCTTTTTTCCGAAAAATTTTCAATATTTTTGACGACCCGTATTCGAAAAACCCAAAAATCTTTTTTTTGTTTTTTCTCAAAATGGTAGTCGAATGACGTATCTCCAGCGAAAGTCAGCTATAATCCGATCTAAAGTCAAATATTTTTTTTTATTTGAAAGAGCGTCAAAAACTGCAGGTCCTGTGAGGTTCGGTTTTCTGAATGAAGCTTTTTTATTATTATATTGACAAGCATTTTTATAATTAGACCGCCATTTTTTGAGATTTTTTCAGAGTTTTTCGAGCGAATGAACTTGTCAACCCTTTTCTCTGCTTGGTAGATAAGAGTTTAAAACAACGGTGCCTCACAGAACCTGCATCTTGAGATACTCTTTCAAACAAAAAAAATCTATATATTGGATGAAGGCTCACAGAGAAATCTTGCGGACAAAATGAGCAATTTTTGACTCTTGTTTGGTTCATATCTCTGTTAAACATCAGGGTATCGAGCTGAAAATGTTACCACAGCATCCTCACTTCAGTCCCAACATATGCTCCAAATTTCAGCCCATTTGAACGTACCTGGGCTGAGATCGATTTTTGAGGGGAGGGGGGCCTCCTTAATAAATAGAAAAAAAACAAGTAAACTTACTTGTTCATTGTATGAATCCATGGCACTTGTAGCTTCATCTAAGAGCAATATTTTAGGTCGACGAACAAGGACTCGAGCAATAGCAATACGTTGCTTTTCACCGCCTGACAGAAAACTACCTTTCAACCCTACTTTTGTTTCATAACCCTAAAACCAATATCATACAGTAGTAATGAAGACATTATATAATTTTGTATTATTTAACCTGAGGCAATTGGTCAATAAATTGATGAATATTGGCTCTACTCGCGGCATTGATAATATCTTCCATTGGAACATTTTCTAAGCCATATGCTATATTTTCGGCAATTGTTAAATCGAACAAAATTGGTTCTTGACTAACAAGGCCAAAATGAGCACGAACCCATTGCAAGTTTAGTTGACGAATATCAATTCCATCAAGAAGCTAGATTGAATGAAAAAATTTTCTATGATCACTTAAACTGTATGCAGAAAAAATACTAACTAGTTGACCACTTGTAACATCATAGAATCGTTCTAACAGTTGAATAATTGTTGATTTGCCACATCCGGATGTACCTGTATGAATCATATTACACAATTAACATTTAAAAGAAACATTTAGTTCAAGCATACCAACAAGAGCCATACTTTGACCTTAATAGTGAATAAAAGTTTCTCATAAAATGATTAAGTTGAAACTTCACGCACTTACTTGGCTTGATATTCAATTGAAAGTTGTTGAGAATAATAGATGTTGGTCGAATTGGATAGATAAATTTGACTTTATCAAATTTTATCTCTCCACGAAAATCAACCTACACGGATCATATTATGTCCATGGTAGATATGTGATTGAAGAAAAACAATTGCCTTCTATGTTCTCTTACCAATTCTTGTCCTTCAGTAGATGTATTGTCAATAATTGGTTTTCGATCAAATAAATCAAAAAACGTTTTAGCCGCCGAGATTGATGCAGCGATCCGGCTAGATCTAGAATTGAATCAGTATGAACAATAAAAGTAAAGTGTAAATTGAGAGAGTTACAGCATTCCGATCAGTCCATGTGCTTGTAACGAAAAAATAGCAAAAGAAAAGGCTCTAATGGATAGAAAAGATAACGAAATATTGTCTTTAGGTTATCAAATAGTAATTTCAACTACATTATAATACGATTCGAGCTGAGTTCGTTCATTTCAACAAGGGCAAGTGCACGCCAATACACAAATGTCATAATTACTACATCTAGTGACCAGTACATGCCATATGTCATTGAATATAGTGTCAAAGGTTTCCAAGACAATCTATGACAAAACAAGATTGATTAAAAATTTATACATGTATAAAATTCAGTTGACTAACATATATGCTTCATGAATAAGTTCAGAATATTGTCGTAGCACTTCCTTTTCTATTGACAATTGTTTTATTGTACGCATATTATGTATAACTTCAACAACAAGCTGTAGAAGTAAAAGATAGAATGAATGTAGTGTATTTGATTTATCAAACAACTCATGATAAAATAATTTTTCCTACAAGAAAAAGCAAATAGATAAAATTTGATCTTACCATACTTGCTCGTCCGATAATGTGATCAGATTGTTGCTTCATCCATATATCTAAGCGTATATTCCCATAGATGATTATGCATATGAGAAAAAAAGGACCAAAAAGGATCAATGCTAATCGCCAACTTATCAAACATCCAAATAGAATTCCAAAAAATGACAATGCGAAAGCTTCACAGATGGCTCCTAATCGTGTACTAGCCATTTCTTGAACGGCTAATGCATCAGAAGAAAGACGAGCACAAATTGTACCAGAACTATTTTCAGGTCGCTCGTAATAAGCAACTTCTTGACGAAGAAGACACGCAAAAGCTTTCGAACGAATGCGTTGTGTCAATTTCGATCCTGCTATGGCAAAAGCTGTATACTATAGCAAAGAATAAATAAATTACTGATCAAATTCAGAAGCAGCATTTTTACCTGAAAAAAACGAAGAATGAATATAACAACACACAAAAGTAAAAATATAAAACTAGTAATTAACACTTGATGACGTCGTTCAGAGTTTGAACAATATTTGAATGCCTACACAATAAAAAAAATCTGCATTAAATAATGTATATTTTGTTGATCCTTTTTGCACAATATTTGTATAGATGGATCACTCACATCAACTATTTTAGCAAGTAAAATTGCAAACAATGGTTGACCTGCTCCATTTAGTATACACGCTATACAACCAATCAAGATAGTGACCCATTCAGAACTATTCATTGACAAGAGTCTTAAAAAGACAAATCTTTCTTGGAATGGCTTCGAATGTTGCTAAAATAAAGGAGATTATCAATAACAGTTTTTCTAAATAATTGCAGTAGTATTTGTACTTTGTTCACATCAATAATTCGACTATCGCTATGTGAACGAGAGTATTCAACTATTAAAGAAACAAGACGAAGAAAAGTGAAGACTAGTGCTATTAGAATGCTAACATACATATCGACTTTTCTTCCTCTTCTGTTGCTTTTTGTATGCTCATCATATCATCGTCACCATCATCGATTCTTTCCATTTGTTGACGTTTGACCATTGCTTGATATTTGCCACCGTCTTTTGTTATCAATGTTTCATGGTTACCTTGCTCAATCACGCATCCATTATCTAATACATATATTTGATGAGCATTTCGAATTGTATTCAATCGATGAGCAATAACAATAGTTGTACGACCTATATATGACTGATATATCAATATGAAAAACAGAAAGAAATAAGCCTTACATTTGCGTGCTCGATCGAGCGCTTCTTGAACAATTTTTTCACTAATATTATCAAGTGCACTTGTTGCTTCATCCAGTAAAAGAAATGCAGGTTGCTTGACAAGAGCACGAGCTAATGCAATACGTTGTTTTTCACCACCACTCAACTGCATCCCACGTTCACCAACAAGTGTTTCATATTTCTAAAAAAAATAATGATACATATACATTGATAAAGACGCATATTTGACACAAACATTTGGTAATTCCATGATGAAATGATGTGCATTTGCTTCTCGTGCTGCTTGTTCAATTTCTGCTCGTGTTGCATTTACTTTACCAAAACGAATATTTTCATAAATGCTCATACCAAATAGAATCTATGACAATAGTGAAGACAAATGAAAAGGAAGAAAACAAAATTGAAAGAAAAAGCATACGGATTCTTGACTAACAACTCCAATGCTTTGTCGAAGTTGTTGGACATTGTAGTCAGTTATCGGTCGACCATCGATCGTTATTCGACCAGCAGAAGGTTCATAGTAGCGAAGAAACAGTGATATACACGTACTTTTTCCTATGAATAAATTGTTAACATAAATGAGATCATTATAACATTTTTATTTTGGAAAAGAATTACCACTACCACTTGAACCTACTAGTGCTGTTGTCTGACCAGCGCGAGCAATAAGAGAGAGATTTCGCAGAACTGGTGTATCTTTTCGAGATGGATACATAAAGTTGATATTGTCAAATTCAATATCACCATTGATATTATAAATCGATTTTGTATCGTCTTTCCATACATCTGTTTCATTGACACTTGCATCATTTTCCTACATAATGTAAATGAATACGAAACATTTCTATCAATATGAGACCTGAATTTAATTAAATTTACTTCCTCAATAAGTTGAAATACCGATGATGCTGCACCACGAGCTTCTGACAATGATTGAAAGTAAGAACCAATAAAACAGAAGTAAAACAAAGATTGGGTAAAGATAGAGACGACCTGCATTAAGATAATAGTCGTATATTCATTTCGTTAAGTGATTATGTGAACTACTCACGACAAGAAGATCACTAATATTCAAACTATTATGAGTTTTGTCTGACACAAGAAGAGAACCAAAGATAAAACCAACTGCATAAACTAGGTAGATTATCAGAGATGTCAATCCAGTATAAATCCCAAATATCACACCTTGACGTATACTGTTCCAATGAGTTGAATTCAATTCTTTTTCATATCTGAATGCAATCAAATAACAACAAGTTTTATGATATCAAACAAGTAAACTTGTTTTCGATTAAGGAAGGTTATTGACATGTTTGAGTAAATTGTTCACTTTCTAATTTAAGATTTATTTAATAATAACTTAACGTTTCGGACAACAATATCGTCCTTCATCAGAAGAGATTGTACATGT